ATTTGATGGCCAAGAACGGAGTGATCCTGAAAAACGAGAAAACGAAAAGTACGATGCTGTTATCCAAGCTGCATTGGACGCATGGGGAGCACATAAGGATGTAACTATGGACGTTTTTAAAACGAAGCCGACTAAGGATATGAAAAAGTCAAATGCCATAATATTTGAAGAGGACGATAGAGGTGATATAGTACCACCGATTGTATTATATAATCAGGACTTACCACCGAAAGAAACGCCTAGATCAAAGTCCCCAATAATATCTCCTCAAACGTGCCCAGTTGATTCTTCTTCATCTCAGTCCGTTGTTTTACATCAATATTCTCAGTCAAAAGCGACATCATTGCCATTTGTGTTTCATGGACAATCTTATGTATCTCCTCTCCTCCAAGCCTTATATGAAGGCAATATAGCTCAAGCCAATTCCGTTGCAAAATATCTCGATGGGTTTAAGATTGATTTATCACCAATTCTTTCTATTGAACTACCTGCCGATATTGAAATCGAAGTTAGGCAGAATAGCAAGTGGCCGGCTTATTATGCAGATGTAAATAAAAATGAACGTCGCTATTCATGTGAAGAAACGATAAAGAAAGCTCTCCATCATATCATGCACTCAAGAGTGGCAATTATTAATGCAGCCCCTGGTAATAAATAATTTTAATAAATTTGAAAATTTTAATTGTTTAAATATCAAATATATATGTATATTATTTTATTTATTTACCTTATTTATTTATTGGCGGAACATATTATATACATTTCTTTAGTTACATCTGAAGTTTTATTGATTACGAAGGCTGTAAAGCTTCTTTCCGAGCCTCTGAGCCAAAGAACCATTATTGCCCCGATAATTGTCATAACAAAGTGTTCTTTGACACTTGACAAGATATTGGTAGAGCTTCTTTCCATTTTCCCAAATTTAATTCGTGTTGGTTCAACTAAGCAATGTAAGAATCGTTTGCTTGCTGGAAGACAGGTAGATAATCTTCAAAACGAAATCAATACATTGTATAATCGGCAAATAGATCATCTAAAAGATACGAGAATCGATTTATTGAAAAGAATAAAAGAACGTTTTACTTTCATGTCAGATTATTGCTTTATTCAATCAGCTCATAATCATTTCAAAAAGCAATTATCGCCACATAAGAGCAGAAAAACTAATCAT